TTCGTTTTCTCATTAACTGTATTAATTTCTCATTTAAGAAGACAACTGAAATTTTCTTTAAAGAAACAGCACGGAATTTTCATCTGTCTTTGAATTAATTCTTCACTGTTAAGCAAAACTCCTTAACAAAAAGATTGGATCTAACTACAGCTGCCCATCTCAACAAACTTAATTCTTCTCCAAAAGAATTAAATGCTAACATGTTTGAACTTTGTATAATACTACCAAATAGTGACAAGTACTCAACTAGGTTAAAACTAAACCTTGAAGGTTGCAAGTCAACTAAGAGCCATAAAACTTTCTTTTTTTTTTCTTTTTAATTTTTGTCAAGTACAACTTTAGAAGAACGAAATATTCCAACTTAACTCTTTTAATATTAAGATTAAAATAATAAAAAAATCTTTAAATTTTATTATTTTTTTAACTAAAATTTTATTTTTATCACATCCAGATAAGATTTTGATTTTTGATTTAAACTCAAATATGTTTTTAATATTTATTTTACATTTAAATAAGGCCTTAATTTTTAATTTATACCTAAATAAATCTTTAACTAAATAAATAAATATTTGGTTTGAAATAGGAGTTTATATGAATAAAAATTAAAGAATAAGAGTTTATTTAGATATAATAAAAGTATAAAAGCGTATTTAAGAAATGTGAAATAATTCATGAGTTTTTCTAATATTTCAACCTAGTAAAAATCACTATGTACTTATAATTATTGAATCAAATAATAGGGTATCGTCAAGGCTAAAGGCTAAAGGATCAAAAAATTTTCGAACAAAAATTTAATAAATATTAAGTCCTTATTATTTTGTACAATCAATTAAGTCCTCAAATATTTATTTTTTTCAATTGAGTTCTTATTAAATAAAAATTGATTAATCATGAACACTCATTACCATCTAATCAAGGATTCAAGTAAGGTGAAAATAAATATTTAAAAGTTCAATTGATTCAAAATAAAAAATTGAAAACTTGATTGATTATAATAAAATATCAAAACTTAAATAATTATTAAATTTCAGTCTGAAGCTTTTTTAAACCCTTTTACCTAAAATCAATTAACCAAGTAAAGTTTTTATTAAAAAAAAGAAAAAAATTACTGTCGAAAACCTTGTTTTGGAAAAAAAAATTACTCAAATTGATGAAGGGTCTGCATTGGATTTACCTTTTACTTTGAAAAAGTATTGAAAAAAATTTCGATCACTTAAGTTCAGTACAGGTACACTTAGTGGACATGCACGATAGAATACATTTTTTTTCCTTTGAATCTTAAGCTATCTAAGCTTAATCATACCAAGGGGTCCCATGGGTTAATATTTCTTCACATTTTCCTCCTATCTATTCTATTGATCCGTCGGCATGGCCGGTTCAGTGTTGTTGCTTCATTAGCCTATGTCCGTTGTATCCCACTTTTATTTTTCATCATGAAGCTGGAACATAATGAGGGTGATATCATAATGTTGTTTCCAAGGATATATCCAACATTTAAAAGAACTCAATTTTTTCAATTTGAAGTCTCAAGATCTCTCAAGAACTGAAGAGTGAGATTTATAGAATAGGGCACATTTCTATAATTCAAGATCATATTGTGTTAACAAACAAAACATGATATGATAATGTTGCAAAGTGCCACTTTGATAATTAATCAAGCACTCTAATTTTTAAAACTTAATTTCGTTTTAGAGGTTTTAGAATTCGAATTCTTGAATGGATGAGAGAATTTATGAAAAAAATAAAATCATCTCTCATTTATTGTTCAAAATTTTATATGGAAGAATCGTATGTTTAATTCAATTAATTTATATAATTATTTTTTAAAAATAATATTTAATAAATTTAAAATTTAAATAACAATATTTTTAATAACTTTTTTTATCTTCATGCTACGACTTTTTTGTAAAAAAGTCTTATATATAAAAAAATCAAATGCCTTCGAGATATTTATACGTATTATTTATTCATTTTGTGAAGTCAATTAGAAGTAAGGTGCACGAGCATGAACAAGCCTCTAATTATGAAGTTGGAAAAGAATACTATTAAAGTCAAACCATACCAATAAGGCAAGTTATAAATTTATGTGCCAGTGACTCTATGTCTCCCAAAGGAGGAATCGAGCTTTATATTTTAAGGAATATATGCATCAATCACTGAATAAAATGAGATTAAAATGTAAATTATCTTCCTTTTTGACTGTTGGTATAATCAGCTAACCGACAATTTGCTAATGAAATTCTACCGACATTTTCCCCTTGCAATTTACTTTGAGAAAAAAGGTCAATATATATTTGACTTTTTAAGTGTTTAGAGACTAGGTAGATGCTGATATAATTTTGTATCCTAATTATTAGTATAATTTATTATTATGATATAAAAGAGATGGCACTTAGTTGAATAATGTGAAAGAAATGATGAACAGAATGGGCCATCAAACACTCATAGTTCATCATTTGGTTTCTTCTTTCAGCACTCTCTAAGTGCTAAAGAATTGTCAAAAAAAGAAGCTTCAACCTTCTCTTTCATCATACATATATATACAATACAAAAGGCAAAGAAGAGAATGACTATCATTACCACATGTTTCCTGGGTTCTTCCCTTGGAAACTGTTGCACATTATATGGTCATACCATGTTTAACATGGTCCCAATTCCACAAGGATAATAATTAATTTATACACTTGATTTAGTTGACTTCCTTGTTTCTAATTCACCCATATAGATATAAACAATATCCCTAAGAATGAAATTTTCAGGGAATGAAATCTCTTCTCAATGACAAAAAAAAAAGATGCATTAGAACCATATGAAATCCCAGATTCAATTCTATCATATGTGGGTTTGGTATAATTTTATATTAAATTTGTTTAGTTATGTATCAGTTTGTTAATTTTTATATGATTTGTTTATTGCTTAATGTCTTATACTTGATGTACTAGTTTATGATAAATATGTTGGAGTTGTTTGATTAACTGTAATTTTTACTATTTCATGTAATCTCATAAAAAAAATCACTTAATGGATATAGTATTTCTTTTTTAGTACAAAAGAAGAACAATATCATATGTCTTTAACAAAAGGAGATATTAATTAGTCATGAAATACTCATGTTTAAATTCTATCATATGTTTGATTTGATCCAATTTCAAAAGTTTGATAATTTGTTAATTGGTTTATTTATTATTGCTTAATATTTATACTTGTATTTATTAGTCTTTACTAATATATTACCAATTAATTATCGACAAATTATTGATAAATTTTATTGATGAATTATTGACAAATTCAATTAAATTTTATGACTTCATTTAAACAAATTTACTGATAAAATAATTATACTATTGATAAAAAAATATGTATTAATAATTACCGACAAAATTGTAAAATTATTGACGGAATGTTATTATCCACTCATTTATTATCAATTTAAATTTATGTTGATAAATTCTATTGATAAATATTTTACCAATGAAAATTTATCTTATATTGAAGAATTTTTTATCGAAAACACCCTAATTTCTGGTAATGTTGGATTTTAGGATAATATGTCGAAATTATTTGATTATATTGTAATTTTTATTTGTATGAATCCAAAATCTGTACGCAAATTAACCTCACTCCAAATCTTTCTAATATTGAAAAATCCAGAAAAACAACTTTTTTCTTTTATTTGTGAAATAGTGGTCCATTCACAACAAATGCAGATAGAAGAATTGTCCAAGTTAATTTAAGATTGGAAACGTGCATTTTCTGCAGGTGGAGAAAATTTGCCACCAAATTCGAGCTGCCAAGGTCAATGGTAGTTTGACAAAGGGTTCCTTTATACGTACCAAGGTCATAAATTTTGGGAGCCCTAAAGGCTTTAATTTAATTCTACCACAAATACATTATTTTTTTTCTAATTTTTGGGTTTAAAATTTATAAGCATATATTAGAAAACCTCATATCAAATAATAATATTAATGATGTTATCGAAATAATAAAGTATTAAAAGATAAATATTATTGGAATATAAATTAAAAAAAATTCATTATCTTTAAAAAATTATTAACTTAAATAAATTAACATAAGTCAACAAGTTAAATATCAAATTATTTTCATTAAATATTTAGGTAAAATATTATTAAAAAAACCCTTGTTTATATTTTGTCTAGTATAATGACATTGGAAAATTTTCAAATATGGTAATTCTATCCTTAATTAGAAAGGAGAAAGGGAAATTACCAAAAGGAAAACAGAAAGAAGAGAAGCAAAACCACATCTGAGCATTTTTTTGGTAAAATATTTAGGACGAGGTGAGACTTATCCATTCTAGAGTTAGGGTAAGCCATAAGTTAGGAAAAGATTTACATTAAATTTATAAATTGCTCGCCGGAGCTAGACTTATGAGCATTTGGTTCAATATTTGAGGATGAATCTATTCTTCATTAAATTTCTATTAAAAAATTGGATTTGATTCCTTTTTAAAAATGACAGTTCGGTGAGTAAAATTTTCGGGATTTAGAAAAGGGCTTATTGTACGGAGATCCTTCTCTGGATCATACGCATAACAGAAGTTTTACCCTTGTCAAAAGGAATCGAATCTAATTTTGATTTTTTTTTATAAATTAAAAAAAATTGAAGCCAATTATTGAGCTTAAATGCTCTGCATTATTAGAGGCAGAGTAAGATCAGCAGCAAGTGAAAGAAACAGAGTACAAAATTATACTAGAAACATGGTAGCTCAACAGCCTACTATGGCTCCTATACCATACAGAGACACAGGTCAACTTTGGAAAATGTAATCTTTACAGAAAAATAATTCCACCATGAAAAAAGAAAGAAAGTGATATTAAAAGAAGTCAAATTTCCTGAAGATCTGCCTTTATCTATGGTGGTCCAATGGAGCTTTGCTCCCACATGGAGTAATGTAATCTTCACTCATGATCTCATCAAACATCACATGAAATCCAGCAAACACAATGAAATTATTATATGAATATTTCTATTAACTCATGATCAAACGGGCCAAGTTCTTCATTTCTGTTCATATTATATTACAAATGACTTTCACTCATGAAAACATCACCATCCTTGTCCTCATATGCGTACAAAACAGAAGAAAAACAATCGCAAGTTCTCTTCTTTCTTTTGACAACATGATCACAACCCCAGTACGTGATATAATCATACAATTATCGAATCATAATACAGAATTATACAGGGATTCGCCACTTATAAACGTGGGTTTTATATAAAATTTTGACTGATCTAACATAATTCTAGATTGTGATTGATTAAGCGTAGTACATAGGTAATATGCTCCGTAATAGATGGGTGTTACATTTAACGAGATCGACGATTAATTAGGCTATAATTAGCTGTTCTGCTAGACCTTGGAAGATAGACTATGGATTCTGAAACTGCACAAGTTCTTTTACAAGAAGCGTAAAGATTAATAAATCCAAACCTGTCACTGATACTCCTTGTTACCTTTGCTCCATTCCAGAAATTGCTTGCAGATTCTTGATCATCATCATCATCATCCTTTGAACATTCAACCAAAGCAGTGAAAAATGGATCCATTAGGAAACTGTCAGCAGCACCGGAAGCTCTGTTCTTTTTTGAGGTTGGTGGAGTAGCCGGGGGGGGCAATGGCAGCAGCTTCATGGATTCTTTCTGCTTGTGATTTTGCAGCTTCTTAGGGATCCCTGGTAAATGTTCCCAAGAAAATGGTACACCTGAAAATCGGAGTGGTGTCGGAGGACTGAGTGGCGAGTCATCGAGAAAATACAAAGATCCAAGCGAAGATGGCGATGATGAAAGCGATGAAGACGAAGAAAACGAAGGCGTTCGCCGGGAGGAAGGGTGTTTGGTTACCGGAATTATGGTGTCACATTCTTTTGTTTCCATTTGGTCATGGCCACTTTGAGTCGATGAGGAATCCATAGCTTTAGAGCAGAAGGAGGGGGAGACTAATTTGTGTTGTTATATGGTGAGCTTTTATTTATTTTTTTTATAATTGTTGCTTTCACTCTATTTTTGTAATATATAAAAAGCAATTTAAAAAAAAAAGTATTATTAATAAATGAAACAACTCATGAAATTGATAAATTTATTTGAATCAATCTGAGAAACTCTTACAGCTTGAAAATAATGTTATTAACAAACAAAAAGGCCCATGGAATTGAAGGCAAAGGGTAAGGAAAAAAAAAGGACTGAGGACAGAATGGGAATTAAATGTGGCAACCTTTCTATAGGAAGTGGTTGAGGAATGCTGTTCATGGAGTTAGCTGACCCGAGTATGGGACCCTAACCCGGTGCTACATCAATATTAGGAGTAAATTTCATTACTAGTCATTGAATTTATACTCAAATCCCATTTGGATAATTGAATTTTAATTTATCCTAATTAGGTCACTAAAGTTCTTTAAGAATATAAAAATTGATCATCATAACAAATTTCATCTAAATTATAGCATAAAAACTACGTCATCAACCACATTATTTATCATATCAATTAATTAAACTTTTATAATTTCATGAAAAATCATTAAACTTTCACCCAATTTTTAAATAACTCACTAAATTTTAATTTGTCACTACAATATTTCTAAAATTTGTTAAGTTTATAAAATTTGATCACTCTAATAAAAATTATCCAAAATAAAAATTAGATAAAATCTAAATATTGAACTCAACTAAATAACATCTATATTGTTTATATAACCAAAAATCCTATTATACCACAAAAAAATAAAACAATAAGTAAATTCAGAGCAGAAAGATCCTTAATAAATATTTGTTTTTCCTGAAAATTATTTCTTTTATTTAAATTAAAAAGCATAAATATTTAAATAAAAGATAAAGATCTTATAATTTAATTAAAGCATTATTTATTAAATATTATATTTTTTATTTATATTTAATGTATTATCAATGTATGAATATTATACGATATCAACGTATGAAAATTTGTCACATTAATTACTAAATTTAAAATTTATTTTTACAAAGATGACGACTTATGTTATGCCAATAATATCTAATATTTACATATTTATAATAGATCAAATATAAATTTACTTTTATAATATAATCCTTCTAAGATGAAATCCTAACCTTCAACGAGGGTAGTATTTAACCAAACTTGGTATAAATGGGGCTAAAAACAAAGGCCCAATATCTGGTCGAAATGGACAAAATTTCACTTCTAAAATGACATCATACCTGAAACTTTTGCTGGTAAAGTCGGCAATCAATTTTTCATTATTTTCCATGGTGTACTATTTCATTCAAATATTGGTTTTTAATTTTTTTTATATAAAAGATATAATATTTTGAGGATAAAAAAATAAATTATAAAGGTTAGAATTCGAATTTTAAAATTGTTAAATGTTAATTTTTAAAATAATTATATAAATTAATTAAATTAAATTTTAAATCTTAAATCTTAAATCTTAAATCTTAAATTTTCAATTTATTTTGTATAAATTAATTTTTTTTTATTGAGGATATCAAAATGACCAGAGAAAAAAAAGCATCAAATCCCACTTAAGAAAATTAATTGTGATGGATGTGAGTCAACTAAGGAACTTTTAATGTATAAAAATTGCTATGAATTTAGCAACATGGTGTGTTAAGTCTTGAATGGTAGCTTTTTCCTTTTCTTGTTTTAACTTCTGTTTACATTGAATGTCTCAATTTATAACTCTTCCCTCTTTTAATAATTCCGTAATAAAATATTTTATTTTATTTTTCAACATAAAAAATGGTGTTTATAGTGCCCTTGATGAGAAATGAGTAAAGCACATAGTTAACTTGGATATTCATGAACAGTCCGAAAAATTAGAAAACAAGAAAATTAAACAAAAATTTTCCCCAAACACTCTTTCGGTTAATAAAAATAATAAGTCCGTCAATTATTTTTTTTTATATAGATGATGTGTCTTATAGATTGCATCTCTTAATCCTCCTAAAGGGAGTCACAAAAGGAGCTGATTGCATGATTTAAATTTCTATGAACATACCCCACATTAATTCCCAGCTGTAGGGCATAAAGGAAGATAAATTTCCATCAATGATAGATTGTACTGTTTCTAGTAGTATACAAGCCTTTCAAGACAAAAAGTCTCTCTCCCATCAAAGTAGGGAGAATCAAATTTGGTCTTTCTTTGCACCAAACAAATTGTTTTGATTTTTTGAGATCTTTTGTTGTTGTAGCTAAAAGTTTTTTTTTTTCCCTTTTTTTAAATCCAAAACAATTCAACCGAATTAATCAATCAAAAATTTCCAAACCTAGCTGGACAAGTTTTGGAACCTTGAGACTCATAATTTAGAATTTGCCACTAGGCTTTTTGAGCTAACCAAGTTAATTATGTGGTTGTCTCATATTAATTTTTTAATGGCATTAGGTCACAAACTCAAAATTTATGTAGTTTCCTATTCACTCTTAAATTGTTTTGTTGCTATAAACTTTTCCCCATATTCTCCTTATCACAATAAATTAACCCTTTTTCTTGTGTTATAAACTATGCTTAAAATTTCTCCTTGTCCCTTATTTTGTCAATCTTTTCGTTTGATTCATTGAGTCAAATTAGCTGATCTAATACTCCAAACTTGTGTTTGGTTTAGCCATTAAAGTACCATCTTTTTTATCCATATGTAAGCCACATGATTTGAAGCAATCAAATATGATAAGATTCTATATTGGCAATATATCTTGTTAGGATTAAAACCCTATTTATATAAAGTGATGATAGAACAAATAAAAAAAATTAAACACACAAAATTTATAATAGTTCATTATCAACATTAAACACACAAGAAAAATCAAATATAAACTTCCATTCATGTATCAATGTTGTGATCATTATATACAAGCCAACAAGTTAGTGAAAAAGCCCATCATATATCATTGAGTCTTTAAATGTATTTGATCTTCCAAATCATTCTTTCTCATGTCTTTTTTAATACATTTTTCTTAAAATTGATGTGAATAAAAGTTTATTGGATTTGAATTAAATATATAATATGAGATTGCACGTTAGTGCTTTCCAAATCCATAGATTTTAACCCATTTTTATAAAATTTGAAACTCAAGATTTATTTGTATATAGATCTAATAATTTGTATATTCATATCATATAAAATTTTAAAATTCGTATATTCATATTATATTTTTTTATGAAAATTATGTGTGATAATTTATGTGGAGCAAAAAATATAAAATATATATTTTTTGTTTTATTAAATTTATATATAATTATTATTAAAATTTTTAATTATGTTATTTTTATATTTTATTTTTGTATTATATTTATATTATATTATTATATCGTATTTTAAAATATCATATATATCCGTACATTTACTTCTTTATTTTAGGAATAATGTAAAAAAAAAAAAACAATTTGGTGAGATGTTTGAAGTGCATAAAGCATATCATGTGCATAAAATTATTAATGTTTCCTATAGTACTTTTCTCTCGTCTTTTGCCATGTAACCAAGTAGAACAGAAGGTAAAGGCTAATTTGACAAGGGATCGATTGTTTGTACAAATTTATTAGGTATTAAATATGTAGTTAATTTAAAAATTAATTTAAATTTAATCAGTCAAATAAATAGATTGACAAATTTATAGGAAACAATCAATCCATTGTCAAGTCAGCCTTTACCTTCTCTTTGGAGTTGGTTACATGGTAAACACAAGAGAAAAGTACTATAGGAAAACAGTAATAATTTTATGCACGTAAGATGCTTTAACACTTCACAAACAAGATTTTATTTATCTGGTACACGATTATTGATATAATTTCATCATTATATTTTTAATTTTAGAATAAATTTGATATTATTTTTTAATTTTAGAATAAATTTGATCAAAATATAACAGTTGAAAATATTTTGTAAAATATTTAATTAAAAAATATTTTATAATTAAAAATATCTTGAAAATGACATGATAGAGAAAATGTTTAAAATCAATTGAAAAATTACGATGTAGCAGTATTATATTTAATAAAAATACCATAAAAAATTATTTTACTTTCATGATTGTTTTCTCCATCATATCATTTTCAAAATCATTTTTAACAATAAATCAGTTTCTAAACAAAATTTTCTATTAAATTCTTTAATTGCTTTAAATTTTGAAGTATAATAATAAATTTGTATCAAAATTAAAAATATAGTGATAAAATTAAACTAATTAAAAAAATCAATAATAAATTTAAACAATTCACAAAAATAATCATAAATTTGCATCTTATCCTATTATTTTAGCTATAAATCAACCTTTTCCAATAAAGAATTATTTTTCACACTAAAAATAACATGTATGAAGTTGGGGTAAAATTATAATTAGCAATTGCCCTCGGTACAATGAAAGGAAAGTTCATATGCAACAGTGATGTTTTCAAGGAGCACCATTAATTGTTAAGTTGACACACCTTCAATAGGTTAATCAAAATTAAAATTAGAGCTTCCCAAGGCTAAAACTAGGAACCAACCATGGGTCCACTTATTTTATTATGAATAAGGGTTAGGTTGTGGGGTTAATTATTTGGTGGGTTGCTCATCAATTGTTATGGTAAAAGGATATTTATCAACCTTCTTTCCTTGGTTGGTTACCAAATTAATTACTACGTTAAAACATGTCTTATTACTTCATAATTCATATTAGGTCAGTATTTAGTTACTAACTAATCTGTGACATGCACATTATAATAATGGAAATTTCAATTAATTAACTTAAATTTTACATCCATATGGCATATGGTCAAGCTAAGGGCCCATCGATATTGGATGATTAAGAACATTTTGTAAGGGATGTTTGGTTGACAGAAAATAAGATTCTTGATCAGAATTTTATTTTTTATAATTTGATATTTTAGTTTGATTGGAAAGTTTTCTTCTGCGTTGAGAATCTTATATTTTCAACAGTATTAAAAAGAAAATAATAATAATAATGAAGAATCCAAAACTCTGCTTGTCCTAAGGGTTTCTAACATTCCCTAAAATGTTATTTTTTTACCATTTTGCCTTAGAAAATGTTACTTTCAATCTATCTGATCCTACAATATAAAATAAATTATATGCTTAATAGACACATAAACTAACACCCAAAGGTATTCCAATCCCAATCCTTTGACACCTGGCTACACCTAAAGTTAAATATTTTTTAAATATAAATTACTTAAATTTTTATTTCTATTGAGTTTATGTTTTGCTTCATTTGAATTTTTTTTTAATTATAAAGAATTATTGTGTTTATTTTTGAAATAATTCTTTTTTATTATTAATTTAGTTAACGTGTGAAATCACAAATTTTAATATGATCCCAAGTGAATTAGAAAATAGACAACTAATCATAAATTTCTCTATGGTCCAAGTACACTTATTAATTTGTAGACTTTAAAAAGCAATGTTAGAATAAATTAAAATATTCTCAAATACAAGATTGTGAGTAAGTGTTAGAAGAAAATTAAAAGCAATGTTAAAAAGAAATTAAAATATACACACTTATTCACAAATACAAATTATTTTAAATTAAAAAAATAAAAGTATAGAAAATGAGAAAGGAATGAGTAATTGTTGCTCACATGAGATTTTTGTTTTCATCTTAATTTATAAAAAAATTATAATGAAAAAATCTTATAATTTTTATTTTATTCAATTTAGGTCCTCTGTGCTTATTTCCATCTTTACTCAAATCTACTTAATTTATTTGGAGATAATATTTCGTATTTAAATTTTTTTCAAACTTAAAATTTCAAAGAATTTTAACATCATGCATATCATAACTAATACTCAATTGATGTTAATAAATTTTTTTAGTGATGCTAAATATTTCAGCTAGTTTATATTTACATATGTAACGAAAGCATATATTATGTTAATCTCTTTATAAATTAATAATCTTTCGTTTGAAGTTTTGAACAAGTTTTATCCAAATAAAAGTATAATTTATCAAAAAAAAGATACTAAAGTTGAGAGAAAATATGGCATTGACAAATTACTTTTATTTAAGTTGCCATAATATAAAAATCCAAATTTTATACTTGTCTTAAAGTTAAATAAGTTAGATTTGATGATACATGTATTTATATCATGTAAAATATCAAAATTTATGTATTACCATAATATTTTATATAAAGTTATGTGACATAATTTTTATCAATACGAAAATATGAAATATAATTTTTTATTTTTATTAAATATATATAATTATTATTAAAATTTTAAATCATATTATTTTCGTATCTTAATATCATATTATGTTTGTATCATATTTTAAATTACTTCATCTAACCTGAGCCAATAAATAATTGGATTCGGATCAAAATCATTAACCTTGGATGGCCAGTGTAATGGATTAACTTAATTACATATTTACGATATTTTATTTTGTTCGAAGTTTAAAATTAATTTTATTTTATTTATTATTTATTTATTTTTTCAATAAAAAATTAAAAAAAAAAAGGAAATGGCAGAGACATGGTTGAATAAGGTTGGACAAAGGGTTTTTAAAAAAATAAAATTCAGTCTTAAACCAATTATCAGATAAACTCCTCGAAGAGTTTAATCCTAGTTGAAACATTATTTAGACTTGGATTCTCATCTATAAATTGGAATCATTATACACAGGGACAGAGACGAAAATTACAGTAAATCAGAGAAACACAGTAGTGAGAAGCAAAAAATAGGTAGGCAAGATTCAATAACCAGTGAGCAAGTACCAAGTTCGACAGCATCCTCAACAATTTCCAAGTTAAGCCTACTGTCACTTTAACTCAACAATTTAGCAACCTACAGCCACACTGAATCGTCCCTCAAGCTATTCCCCATTTCTAGTCAAACCATTGTCGCTCCAATTCCCTCAAATCTCTATTACAGTTCCTCCTACTTTGGCCACTGCCACCACCCTTAAGAGCCAAGTACCTGACCTTGTTTGCATCAGAGTTACAGACTCAAAGACCTTACACCACCGTGAACCAAGTCCCACACAAATAAACCCAATTCCCTACTAACCAACCCAGCAAACAAACCCAATCCTGAGAAAGCCATAAGCCCGCAACCACCAAAATTAGTAACTAAATCAACATCACTAAGCTCTCCTTGGCCACCGAACACACACCTGCAAAGGAAAACAAATAAACACAGCAACAAACACCGCAATAATAACACAAAAAAAAAAGAAAGAAAAGAAAGCCCTCTTCTTCTTGAGATTCGGGCTCCAGTGGTCAAAGGGGATTTGAGTCTAAAAATTTTATAACGAGGAAGCCAAGAAGAAGGGGAAGAACATACCTTGAAGCAGTGGCTAACGGAGCGTCAGAGGAAAAAATCTCAAAGGTTGAACCTGCAGCTTTCAAAATCGGATCACGTAACTCTGGTGAGTTTTTGAAGAAACCAACCATACCATGTGAAAAAGGAGGCCTGTGAAATTTGGTGGGAATCGGTGACCGATCGATAACAGTGTTCATTGGTTACGACGACGGCGTGGCTGAAGCTCAGAAGCCAGAATTTGGGAAGCTAAAGCTTTTGGTTTATTTCCTCTGAAACCTACAGAGAGAAAATAGATATTAGTTTCCTAGAGAGAGAGTAAAAAATGAAAATAAAGGAGAGGGCTTGAAAAAAGGGTTTTTATACTCTGAAGGAAATGGCACCGCCTTGGGAAAGGAAGTTGGGTTCTTTTGACCTGCTTCAGTGACCTGCATGTCATCCAATAGTTGATCCGACCGGGTCACTCAATCCATCAACCCATGACACTGCTAACTCGCACTATTTGAGCCACAAGCCAAGTCGCTTAGCCTCCAAGCCATCTTAGAGTCTGCAACCAGGCACTAAACCAAGTCGATTTCATTTTTTGATATTTTATTTATATTTGTTTATTTATTTATTTTTTTAAGTTTTTTTTGTATGATTAAATTTTAAAAAAACTTATAAAATAATATAAAATAAAAATAAAATTTTTAAGAATAAGTAATAATTATCCGATTATGAAATTTTTAGAAATTACAAATAATTAATTTTTAAAAAATTTCTCAAAAAAATTTTTAAGTGAAATTTTTTTTTCTAAATTCGATCCAAATAGAAAAAATTTTTAAGTAAAGTTTCAATAAGAGTAAGTAATATTTATTTTCAAAATAAAAAAATTTAAATAAATTTAATAAATTTTGGGAATGAATTAAATATTATGCAATAATGTGATTTTTGAAAATTTTAAATGAAAATTTTTTAATAAAACCCTAGGTGAGAAATTTCTCTAGATTTGATCTAAATGGTGATGAAATTCAATAAAAATAATTATATTTTTTTCTCAAATAAAAATTAAAAATTAAAAATAAAACTTAAAAATTTGAGTGAAAATATTTGACAATTATCTAATGATGAAATCTTAAGAAAAATCATAAATAGTTGAATTTTCATGAGATTTTTAAGTGAAATATTTTTTTCTAAATTCAACCTAAATGATGAAAGAATTTAAATGAGACTTTAAAAAATAATTATCATATTATTTTTTTTTCACAGATTAAGAAACTAACAAGAGTTTAGATTCTAAATTTAAACCAAATAGTATAGAATTTAGAAATAAAACTTGTAAGGTATTTCTAAATAGAACTAAATGATAAAAAATTTAGAAATAAAACTTATAAAATAAAAAATAAATTTTGAGGATGAAAGTCATGGTAATCACAAATGGATGATTATCTAAGAGATTTCTATGTTAGAAAATATTTCTAATTTTGGTCAAAATAGTGAAAGAATTAGATATATTTTCAATAAAACAAAATTTAAACAAATAAATAAATGATCAAATATTTCTTACAAGGGAACATTTTCAAGAAAACAAATGAGATTCTTGAAAATTTTTTAGGTGAGGAAGTATTTTTAAGAATTTTACCAGATTGATAGAGAAATCTTAAAAAATTATTTTCAATATTTAAACATTAAGCATTTGACAAAAGACCATTAGAACATAAACCCTTAGGATAATTTAAAAGTAAATGGTACTATCTTAGGATAGGTGTGTGGGGGTGTTATAACATTTTCTATACGTAATCGAATTCCCGAATCCTATTCTGATTAGTAGACTAGAACATATTCCTTAGGAACCCTTACTTAAGCTTAGGATATCCTAAAACAGATAGATTCATTAGGTGGCTAATCACACCTTAATAGAAGATTGGTGGTGACTCCTCTTGTTAAATCTAGCTATAGATTTACAGATCTATACATTATGACAATTTGGTGACTCTATTAGAGATTTCAAGAGTCAGGCCATTAATTAATTTGAATTATCCTTATTTTTTGTTTGCTTGGTCTTAAATTATTGATTGTTTATTTTGCATTTTTTAACTTGGCTTATGACAATTGAGAATAAAGATTTATATATTTTTTTCACACACATTATCATATGCATGTGTACACATGAGCTCTATACTCAAGTTTTGTCCTTTTTAGGAGTGAGTAAAGTATCTACATTCTTGTGAGATGATAAACTCCATAATGCTTAGCAAAATACTTTCACTCAACTTGAATCTTTTCTATTTGTAGCTTATGATGGGCGAGGATAGGAGTATCTTACTAGTCTATGATGAATAATGATGTTAGAGCAGTTTGGGAACCTTTAGATTTAACCCAAACCACATGTAGCAAAACATAAAAAGCCAACCTTAGATTAGAGCTATATCTACCCATCATTAAAATCTAACCCTAGTTAGGACATATTAGTGGCCCTCTGAGCTTTGTTCATATCAACTTCATGACAAGTTTTATTTGATCTTTATTTATTATTAAGTTGTTATGGGTTGCGTGTTATATTCTAGTCTAGTATCACTAACATATATATATATATTCATCCATACATCATAATGTGATAAACATCAGTACATGCATTCATACATTACTGTGCATACATTCATGTGTCAAGTATTCAATGCATTCATACATTCCTGCATATAGGATTCTTAAAAAGTGAGGTTAACAAGCTTCTTTGCATACATGTTGTCATAACGTCTAGATCCAGAGATCTATCACTAGACATTAGCTTTAGGAGTCGCCACCAATCTTTTTTTATTTAGGTACGATTGATCACCTAAGGAATCTATCCTTTCAAGGAACACATAAACTTAAGGGTCCCTAAAAGAATAGGTTCAGGTTTATTGATCAGAACAGGGTTCGAGAGTATGGTCACATGTGAGGAAGGTTATAGCACCCTCACAACGTTCATTGAAAGATGGTACCAGCTTAATTTTGTGTTATCCAATAAGCTTTAAAAATTTATCAAGTAATTAATTATTGAAAATTATTCTCAATTGACTCTAATACTTTTAGCAAAAAATTGAAAAAATTTTCTCACCTCAAGAGTATGCAAAGAAACTACTATTTCACTTGTAGATGCTCCATCGTCGGATTATTTAACATAAAAAAATTTAAGAAAAGAAAGAAAAGAATAATGATTCAAACTTTGATATAAGTCTTTTCTTTTAAAAAAAAAAAAACACTCATCACTTTCATACAAGGAAAATTGATTCTTTCAATTTTTCCTTAAAGCATTTGAAAATTTTATTTTCTAGGGAAATTGATACTTTCAACTTTTCCTAAAATATTTTTAAAAATTTTATTTTTAGGAAAAGTTGAATAAGAAAAATTGATACTTTCAACTTTTCCTTAAAGCATTTGAAAATTTTTTTTCAAGGGAAATTGATACTTTCAACTTTTCCTAAAATATTTTTTTTTAAAAAAATTTTATTTTTAAATAAAATTGATACTTTCAACTTTTCCTTAAAAATATATATATTTTAAATCTTTTTATTTTTTAGAAAAATTGATACTTTCAATTTTTTATTAAAAATATATATTTTTTAAAATTTTTTTATTTTTCAGAAAAATTGATACTTTCAACTTTTCCTCAAAAATATTTTTTTAAAATTTTATTTAAAGAAAATCATTTTAAATAAATAAATAAATAAATAAAATAAGGAATACTAAGTAATTCTAATCTAATCAATAAATAATAATAATAATAAAAATAATAAAAAAAACCTTGAAACGGTTCAATTCGGCTTGAGAAAGAAAACGGCTTGAAAGACATGGCTTCGGAGTACGTGGCTCGGCTCGAACCTAGGTGGAGAAACGGGTCACTAGATCGGGTGCGTTATGGGTCGGGTCGCCCAATTGGGAATGCGCAGATCCTGGGATTTTCTTAAGCGTAAAATAACGTCGTTTTAACAGGGTATAAAAGGTAAATACCTCTATTTTTTCACCAGATCTCTCCTTCCCTTCTTTTCCTCTTCCCTCTCTCTACTCGAACCTAGATTTTGGTTGAAACTCCATCGAAATCTGGTAAAAACTTGTCAAAAACTTTAAATTTGGTCAAAAAAGTCGTCGAAAAATTAAATGTCACTGGCAAAATTCACTGGATTTTGGAAAATTTCCAAAATTTTTCTAGAAAAACTTCAAAAATTTTGAAAATTTTTTTTCACAAATTCCTAAAGTTATTTCTAATGCCTCATAACCTTTTTAGCTTATGTTCCTCCCCGTTGTGTTTTTTCTTGTGATCTTTGTAGACTTATTTATAGGGATTGATCATAAGAGTTTCTGATCAATCTTAATTCTCGATCAATCCCAATTCCCTCTTGGATTGAGATTCAATCTTTAAATCCAATCTAGACTCTGATTGAATCTCAAATTCACAGTAAAATTCTAACTTTCTGATCAATATCCTTTAATCCCAGCAAAAAAAAAAGAATAGATAAATAATAAATAAAACATATCAATAAAAATATATGTATATTAATAGATAAATAATAAATAATAGTTAATAATAAAATTTTATATACATTAATAGATAAATAATAATATATATTAATAAATAATAATAATAGTAATAAATAAATAAATAATAAATGAATAAATAAGATACAAAAAATAAAATAAAAAATAAAAAATAAAATAAAATGAGCTTACCCATTTGGACCAGGCCTAATTGATCCAGGCCTGGACCAAATGGGTGTCTACAGCTGCCCCTCTTTACACATTTTTTGTGAAACAAGAATTGTACAAAGACATTGACACCCATTCAAGACTCAACTTGACATTTTTTTTGCTTTTTTTTTTGTTAAAATTTTGATCAAGGTCCTCTAAGTAGAGGCTCAACGACTTTAAAAATAAATAAAGCTCCTCTAAACAGAAGTTTCATGCCTTGAAAATAAATGGCTCCTCTAATTAGAGGCTCAACCACTTTTGAAAAGTAAATTGCTCCTCTAAATAGAGGCACCATAACTTTGAAAAAAATAAATGGCTCATCTAATTAGAGGTTCAACCACTTTTAGAAAGTAAATTGCTCATCTAAACAGAGGCACCATAACTTTGAAAAAATAAATAGCTTCTTGACAATCATGTCCAAAGGAGTCAAAGATCATGTTTGAAGAAATTTCAGGAGATTATGCTTAAAGGTCTTACAAATTGATCCTGATGCCAAAATATATCCTTTTCCAAGAATTAGGGACTTACCTCTCAAGCTTTTTCTCGAACGAGAATTGAAAAATCAAAAAGTCTTCGCATTTGCCTTCTTTATGTGAGATCCTAAAATACCTCTGCTTCTTATGTATTATGCTTTCTTGAATGCAGTATGTGCTATATGAAATGCATTGTGTGCAAAATTCAATGCATGCTATGCAAGTGCTGGCTAATTAGTTCTCATTTAATTATGGTACTCAAGTTTCTCAAGCTCTTTTCTTAGGCCTCAAACCCTTGATTCTTCAAAGACCAAGTTACACCATTCTTTCAAGATCAAGCCAGTGTAACTCTCAATCATCTTTTCTCT